GTATAAATATGTACTATGCTGTTCATAAGTATGTTTTGATTGGCGTGAGACTATAAGTATATTTACATACAAACATATGTATTTAATATCTAAAAGTGATATCGGAAAGTAATTAATGCGTACACACTAGGGATGTTAGTTTTTTCGCTTTTTACGATCCCGGGATTTTCGGGATGTCGGTTATCACAACCCCGGGATCCTGGGATTAGTCCCAGGATTTAGATATTCATTACTTTTCAACAACTTAAATTGAAAAAAATTGCTTCTATCTCTCCTACCATAAAATAAATAATAAATAAATTGATTTGCCCCCTACTTTTTTATTTAAAATGGGGTTTTTATTTTTTTCTCTGACGCCAGGATTTATTTTGAAGGACTTTGTTATTTCAAAGACATGATTAATTCCAACAATTATTTGAAAAATGCAATGCAATGTAGAATGAAAATATGGGTACAAAATGAAAGAGGAAATTTCTTTAGAATTTAGAACATTTTAATTTTTTGGATTCACAAGAACGAATAGGTAATTTTTTAAGCTGATAAAGTTAGAAGGACGAAATTCGAGGATGTTATCGAGTTCATATAAGTCCTTAACATATGCAGGCCTATCATGAATTCCGTCGTGATCGCGAAACTCTCCCGAAAATTCGAAATTCGTGAGAATGGTATCACTGATTTCGAGTTATTTTATTGTGATTTATTTTATTTTGATTTAGAATTATTAAACCAAAACATAAAAACAAACAAAAACCAAAGGCAGCACTAAATATGAATGATTCGGAATCGCTTATAGCATTTCTCCCGAATTCGTGACGGGAGATTTTTTTCACGACGGAAGTTCACTCGGAATCTGTGATAGGCCTGAAGCTTTTTCAAGAACAAATATAGCGAAATTTCAAGGATAAAATTTGAAAAGGACAATTTAATACTTACCAGTCCTTATGCATCAAACAATTTAATCTGATTAAGTTCTGCAGAATTTCCTCTTTAATTCGATACCCATACTTCTACATACATTATACAGAATTTTTTAAATCATTTTTGAATTACTAACGTCAGAGTAAAAAATCTAAAACGCAATTTTACTTTATTTGACCCATGGCGTCTAATTTTTGTTGTGTAAAATTTACTATCGCAGAGTGTTATTGTAAGTATAATGAGCTACATATTTATAAAAAAATATAAATTATTAAATAAAAAAAAAGAAATATAGCCATTACTGGTCAAGAAAAGGAGTTTCTATTATTGCCATCAGTGCAAACTACAAATCCCGAAAATCCCGTGATTAATTGCCAAGAATCCCGAGATTTTCGAGACCTTAAAAAGCCCGGGATCCCGGGATTAACGTTACTAGTACACACATATACGTACATATGTGTACATTGCAACAGCGAATGAGGTGAGCAATGCATGTCGGAACTAATTCGCTTTGAACTTTTAACTTTGATTACTGCCACGGATAACACGCTGAACTCATTGTAGATCCGTACAAAGTGTAAATATTAATAGGAATATTTATTAACAGGTCTCTGTGTACTATTGAAATTACATGTTACATGCTGTAATTAGTTTTTATTGCGCATTCACTTTTTTATTCGTTACATATAAATATAAATTTATTAATTGCGGTTAATAAAAATAATGCGTTACGGAAATAAGAATGCATAAAAAATCGCAAAAAGCGGATGACTAACTAACATTTCAATTGAAATTCAAAATTTAATTGCACTAATACTAATTTTAGTTAGCCTGGGGACAATTTCTAATACTACTATGTTCACGCTGAGCCATTAACTAGAGTTTATGGGCCAGTTTGGAGTTTAACGCTAAACTCTGCTCATAAACTCGGAGTTTACCATATAAAATATTTACGTTAAACTCTCCTTAAAAACCACTTTTATTTCGAATTTATGGGAATGCAACCCTCTTTTTGACCGAATTTGGTTTGTGTCTGTGATAATCCAAACCTGTAACCAACTTGTTCCCGTACTGCAGGATTTAATCAGAAATAGTCCGAGGTCGTTCCGAGCACATAAGTCTAGAATATCAGCAATCTACCTATATAAAAACCAAAAATTTGGCTCAATAGAACTTTTTGTGCCGATTTGAACCCAAGCAAAACTATCTGGCGGAAGTAAAAAATAAAGAAGATATCAATGGTTAAAGTTAAATTTTTTGATTTTTTTAAATATTAATATCTTTTGAACAACATAAACAATTAAAAAACGAATGACGTCAAACTTAAGGTAATTCGGTGATTCCCTTGGTGTACATATTTTTCTCCTTTTTTACATTTTTAAGCCGGAAATACCTAATAACCAAAATATTATTAAAAACAAAAAAAAAAAAAAAAAAAACAATATATATATATTTTTTTTTGTTAAATGGCGTTTATTTAAAATTTGTTTTAAAAAGGGTTATACTATATACGGCGCTTACACTATATACATAAGTTTATCTCATTATGTCTGGTGTACGGGAACAGGCTAAATGTAAATAAGAAAAAGTAAACAAACAAATGTAAAATTAAACACTGAGTTTCTTAAACATCCCAATGAGAACACCTGACAGTTGTTCATAAACTCAAAACGTTAAACTCGAGTTAATGACTCAACGTGGATATAGTACTTATAACGTCAACTTTGAACACTATAAATATGAAAATACAAATTATGTAAATACATTGAAAGAATTGCTAATTTTATTGGTTTTATTATTTCAAAATGTTTTTTTTTTTTTTTTAAATTGACGTATGTTTTTTAATTTTTAAATTTCATTTAAATTAAAAAGATTCAAATATATTTTTTTAAGGTTTTCAACACATTTTCAAATATTTACAAACTGTCCAAAAAAATTAATAATAACTATTTATGTCGTTAACTACAACGAATTTTAAATTTTTCAGAAGTAAAATAAATTATTAGATAAATACAATACTTTTGTGAAGCACTAAAAAGCGTGTTCAACCTAATTAAAAAAAAAAACAAATGGGGAAAAAATCTAAGACTTTTTCAAGGCCTAAATGTATTTTCAGATTTTCAAATTTAAAAAAATGTTAAAGTTTTTTCCCATATATTTTATAACAAAGAACTAAAATAGCCAGCTAGAAGGTAATTTAGAGATTGAAAAATGCACTTCCGAGAAAAGTTTCAAACAAAAGTTACGTATTTTTATCCTCAGTATCTGTGGTAAAAATATTAAAAAAAATGAACTTCCGGTCAGTTTAAACCACTTCCGGCCAAAACCGCGAGTCTGTAATGCCACCAAAAGAATCTCTGATTTGGTAGATACTATTTTTTTTTGCATTTGTCAATAAAAATTTTTTCTTTCCATTTTACATAATTAATTTCCAGTACCTTAATTCAAAAGGTGCAAAAAAAATTGAATTACATAGATATAAACGCCTTCAAATGGAGACTTGCCGCTTGATTCGGCAGATACAAAACGACATATTTTTGCCTTTTATTCAGAGACCGTAACGGTTAAGATTGGTATAATAAAACTACAATTTAACAGTCAGAATTTGATTTATATTTTTCCGATCAATTTTTTAACCGTTTTGTTATATTTTTAGTTTTTCGGTCAAAACAATCGTTATTTTTGGATTGTTATTTATTTTTTATCACTTTTTGATTTATATTTTTTCGACCATATTATTTTCAGACTTATTTTTTCAGATGATAATAAATTTAAATCGGTCATAAAACCGCAGTTTCATTGTAACGGTTAAAAGGGTCGGAAAAAATCCAAAACACCGTTATCTTTGATCGAAAAAAATAAAAATCTAAATTTTACCATTTTTTCGGTCGAAAAAATGAAAATATGACAATTTGGCAATGATTTAGAAACAAAATTATTGATGCTTAACGGCTATTTTCGGTCCCTGCATTTAGTTTTTCAGCATTGGTAATGAAATGAAATTCTTCGTGATTTTTTGGGTTTATCCGAGATCGTTCTATAAAATTTTTAGGAAAGTTTTGGATTTGTTCGGGCCTTTATGTTTTTTTTTCATACTTTCTGTTGCTTAGCCTTTTCAAGAGATTTATCGGAATTTTTCGAGACTTTTATTGTTTTGGGGCTTTCGAAAATTTTTGGAGACCTTTCGAGATTTGTTCCTGTTTTATTTTTCAGAAAGTTTTGGAGTTCATCGGAATTACTAAAACTAAACTAAATTCTTTTGCTTCTTGCTATAAAATGAAAACGGTCTCTGGTTTTTTCTTAGTTTTAAAGTTTTTTAGTATTGTTATTTAAATTTTTTAAGATTTTTTTTAACCATAACAAAGAAGTATATTTTCTCTTGCATTGCTTTTTTTATGAAAAGCTTATTTTTTCTAAACGTTGACTAGCGCCGCCTTCTGGCTCCTCAAAAATATATCACTATCATCTAAAGATGTAAACAGGCCAGCAGTCTACACTCAAGCCTAAAAGTAGGCAAACAAATAAGACAAGCGCTAGTAAAAAGGTCAAAGGATGCACAAACACTATAGCAGGCAGCGTTGTCAAATATGTATAGGAGTACAAATTGCATATATATGTACATACATTAGTCAACACTCCAAACATAAAATCGCTAATGAAAAGTACATATGTATGCTATTACTAACAAATAAGAAAGTAAATGTGCATTATAACACTCAACATTCTCCACCAAAACTGCTGCTATGTACATATACATATATTTACGAAACAAGGACAACGCCCTAAGTAGTTGACGCTGTGATGAAAAAAACGCTTCAAAAAAAGCATTACAACATTACTATTTCATATCCGCCAGCTAGCAAACCAAATGAGTAAAGAGCCTTCAAATGTGTACGCGCCCATTTTGGAGCGGACGCCCTTAAAAAGGCAGCGAACCTTCAACGCTACTGGCGAGTGCGAGACACGTTGCAAGGCGTTTTTTTAAATATACTTTTTATAATATCTAGCTAGCAGACGTACTAAAAATCTACATGTTTACACCTCGTTTTTTTTTAGTTTTATTTTCGCTTTGGCTTTCTTACCTCACAGTCGTCACATGATGCGATGTATGGGTGCGCGTTTCCTTGTGTCGTGTCGAGTAACTGACAACAGTCACGTGACGTGTTGCTGTGCGCACCACACGTCGCACCCGACTGCGACCATCGCCGACAACAACAACGATCGGTGGTGGTTTCTCGTTGCCATATTGCAGGAAGGATTCGGAATTGCCTTTGCTGTCATACAGCTCAGTTTCGGACATAGTCAACAAAGCAGCTGGATTTGAGAGTTCTGTTTTTTTTTACTTTTTGTGTGTTGTTCTTGTTTTCTTTAATTCAATTTGGTTTAATTTAGATATAATTTGTTTGGCGGCCTTTGTTTTAAGTTTTTTTTTTAGTTATGTATTTACACAGTTCGTTCGTTTAGTTATGACTTTGCAATTTTTCTTTATACACTTCGTTATTCTTTGGTTTTGGATTTTAATTTTTGTTTTGGACTTTATTTCTTACTTTGCTTTTGCTTTTCTTGTCCTTTTTATTTAATGTCTAGTATCGCTCGATTTCAGTTCGTAGTTTTTCGTAAGTTTTATGCAATTCCGCAAGTTGCTGACTTTTAATTTTCACATGCGTATTCGTTGCGCTTTTTGTTGTTAATTTTGTCTTTTTTGTAGTTGTTAGATTTTCGCACATTTTATTAGATTCCATGATCTATTTGTGCAAATTAGCCGTACGTACAAAACACTGTAAGTTTTCATAGGGCGAAAGTGAGCAAACATTTCATATGTATTTGTATTGTTGTCGTGTTGTTGAGCGTATTAAATTGGCAAATCAGGCAGACAATCGTCGTGTTTCTCGAATTTTCGCAACACCACTGTTTTTTTAATTTATATTTTTAACACAAATACGGAAAGTACGCGTTTGCAACTATAGAAAAGTCACGTGGACCCATGTACAGTGCTGGTAAAAAAAATTGCATCTTATAAACCCAAACAAATTTTAAAAATTTTTACTCAGAATTTCTAGAATAATTTTTGGTATGCAGTTTCTAGCTCTTTAAATTTTAGTATAATAATGTGCTAGTTTGAAGGAGCTACAAAGTCCCGTTGATTTTTGAAAATATCTCAGGCATCCAGTGTGCGTTCGGAGGTGCTCTCTGTCTAAATTATTGAGTTTTTTTCGAAGCCTTTTTAGATGTACAAATAAAACTTGCCTCCATAATTTTTAGTGAAATTTTCGTTAAAAGTATGTGCATTTAACATAACTGCTGAGTGGAAAATCGGACCTATCTCGGCAGCCAGCTCGAAAACGCTTTATCTCAAAAAACTTTTCAAGATTTTGGTTGAAGAACACCTTATTTCAGAATTCGTTTCAAAAAGGCCCTATCTTAGCTGCCGATTCAAAAACGACCTACATATATCAGCACATTNCGCTTTATCTCAAAAAGCTTTTCAAGATTTTGGTTGAAGAACACCTTATTTCAGAATTCGTTTCAAACACGCCCTATCTTAGCTGCCGATTCAAAAACGACCTACATATATCAGCACATTTTCAATACATTTTGAAGTGAGATAGGGCATTTTTGAACCGCATTCTGAGATAGGGCGTTCTTCAACCAAATTCTGACATAGGGTGTTTTTCAATAAAATTCTGAAATAGCTTTCAGCGCTCATAAAGATCACACAACAATAAATCAGCACTCTAAAAGTCAATTATAAAAATGAGTTCATTTAAGCTAAGCTTAAAAGAAGTGAACCATTTATGAAATGCTATTTTGAGTAGTAAGAAAAAAAAAATGAACTTTAATAATGCGGGAAGCGATACCGTTACAAATAGCAGATATAAATGGATTTTAAATGTAGCTAACAGAAAATAATTAGCCGAAGCGCAGCCTGGCTTGACTACCCACGCACGTCTCTGCGTCACAGAAGAGTGCGTTTAGTCGTAGGTTTTTACGTTTTTTTTTTTGCGTAACACCCGCTTGCCTCTCTTCCAATTGTTGTAGATTATGTTTTTAAAGGCAAAGGCAATGAAAGAAAGCATTTATTCTACATATGCGCAAGCTTCTCTCCAAAAGGAAAGCAACGAAAAAAACAAAAGCCAACGCATGGAAACAATGAAACTTTCCAACTACTCGCATAACATATCAAGCATGTCGGCCAACTGATTGTGGGTCTTTAACTGCTTATTTGCTTTTCGTTAAAAACAAAACAAGACAAAACAAACTAACTTTCCAAACTAATAGCATTTCAAATGGACAGGATGGACATATGTTTAGCTACTCAGACTGATGAACTCGCGCCTACACAAAACCACAATCATGTCATGTAATGCCACTACATACATACATACATATATGTATCTACAATCACATACATACGAAGACATGCAACTCTAGAAACGTGTCACATTTTAAATGTCAAAAGCATCTAATAGCACTCAATAAGCTTTTAGCAAATGCAAAAATCTTTAATTCGTAATTCTTAACTGGAATTCCTACACGATTTGTATGTATGTAGGCAACTGGTTGGCTAGCTAGCTTGCCTGAAAAGTATGCGAAACGAGTTTCTATATTTTATTATTTTCTAAATCAATTTCGTATTCATTTAATTAACTAGTATGTTTGTGATGATCGAGCGGCTGAGAAGCGAATTTATTGCATATAAAAGTCAGCTCAAATCAGGTTGTAGTGTAAAACAATATGGCACAGTTCGTGGTAGAATAATAGAGACACATGTTCTTAATGCCCTTTTCTGAACGTGCCAGAAGAAAAAAAACCTCATTCTCCTGAGCCTGGATCAAGTGACCGTTAATAATTAGGCTTACCCTGCAAAATGATAGGACACTGTAAGATAATTGCACGACCTAACCGAGTTTTTGTCAAATAGCATGTTGATTCGACATAAGTCATCCAGTTCACAAACACATTTGGGCTTTTATTGCCATCGCAGGATGGTAGCTCGAATGTGTGGCCCCTCTGCCTGTCCGAGGTTGCCGCCAGGTTGGTGATCATTGAAAGCATGGCAGAACTGGGCTAAACTCATACTCGTTCCGACGTAAACACCAGCTAAAACCAGAATAGCCGTGGCGCAAGAAGCCAGCATCGATGGAAACATATTATTTCTCCTCTGACTTCGTAACATTGGTACAAAAGACGAATCCGCCTTCCCCGCTTAAGCTCCCTCCATGTCCAAGACGGTATCACTAACCGTGCAGCTTCTCCGTTACAGACGAGGTATTCGCCGGGCAGTATACCTTCACACCGAATAAACGGGTTGAAATAAGAGAAGCCGTGGTGCAAGAGGAGTTTTGCTTTGATGGGACCATCTTGTTTCAGTGCTGTCTTGATTTCATTGGCACACAAACGTAATCGACCTTTTCTGAGTGGTTTCAAAGCAAATGGCAAACCCACAGGACTTCTTTTGCCTAACCCACCAGAAGACTTGTGTGGTTATGCACTCCAAAAAGGGCCACTGGAGAGACTTCTAGTGTTTGACGTCTCTCTGCATGCTCCCGTATCTCCCCGTATCTTCTAGGAAAATGTACGCCATCATTGGGCGGCCGTCGTCTGTTAACTTCTTACCGACTTATGCCTATTGCGGATTACTCTGAACANTCCGCTACTTCCCCGTATCTTCTAGGAAAATGTACGCCATCATTGGGCGGCCGTCGTCTGTTAACTTCTTACCGACTTATGCCTATTGCGGATTACTCTGAACAAGAACGACTGCCCTCCCGACCAGGATGCGCTCCCTCGCGTAAGCACTGGAGACTTAGTTTCCATCGTTCACTAATAATCATGTATGCGTTAGCTTAAATAAATAAATTAATTAATTAAGAAAAAAATTTCAGGAGAAGTTCGACCAAACACTTAACAAAAGTTATGGAGTTTTCAATCGGTGAAGCTGTCAAAAGCTGCAGACAAAAAAATTTTTCGACTTAAAAATTGTATTTGCACAATTTTTGATATATTCGAGAATAGCTTTAATTTATTCCATTTGAATTGTGATGCGATTAATAATGCAATGAAAAATTTCGGAATCGAAAATCATTTTTATTTTTTTTTTTCAATGACTTGACTTAAGTCGGAGATTTCTAGCAAATTGAGCTGGAAGCTATAGAGGTTGAACAATATAAGTAAACTAAAACTGGAAGAAAATAGACGGAAATTTTGTTCAAAAATGGTTTGACTTAAATTTCATTCACTTCTAAATTTACATTTTTAAATTTTTAAAATATCCACATGTGCCGATTACTCTTCCCAGCACTGTACAAACATGCAAATTCCATGCAATTTTTGTTCAATTTCCATACACAATTGAACTCTAATTTTAATATATATTGTATATTGAAAATTGTATTCAATAACAAGCTCGATTGCTATATGATTACCCCTTATTCAAAAGTATGAAAAAGCGCTCTATAAAAACGCTAGTTTTAGTACTCATTCACTTATGTAAACAAAAGCCAGCCATTTGCTTTGACATTTACGTACGTCCGACAATTGTCTATACATATTCGCATAAATAATTACTTATTGTTATTTTTGCTTGTTACCTACGCTGATGAAAAAAATTTTGTTTTGTACAGAAAAACAACTTTCAAGTCATTTAATTTACACGCAGCATTTATGTATGTACCTACTGTAGTTGTTTTATTTCAGTTATTTTTGTTTATTTTTTTTTTTAAGCATTTCAAGTTTTCAAGCGGCGATTTTGCAATTGACACCTCATGACTTAATTTACATTAACAAATTTACTTACATATCTTTGTATGCAACTGCGTGTGTATGTACAGTTGTCCACAAAATAATAGGAGTGCGATATTTTGACCAGTTTTGGCTATTTGTCTTTTGTTTATTTAATGTTTATTATTTTTTTATAAAAGCCTAGCTGGCTATACAACAAACACCATATAAATTCAGATTTTAAACTTTGTATAAAAATTATAAAAATTTTGCAATTTTTCACCCAAATTTCAAACTTTTTAATCAGAATCTTTAGAAAAAATTCTGGTATGCAGTTTTGTAGCACATTCAATTCTAGTCTGAAGAAGTGCAAGTTTCAAGCGGCTAAAAAATTCCGTTGATTTTTGAGAATTTTTTTGGTTAAAGGTGTTTCACGTTTTTTCCATACAAAGTATGTCGACAATTTTCTTTTATATGGAGGACACTGCCAGCAAAAAAATTGCCAAAAATCAACGGAATTTTTTAGCCGCTTGAAACTTGCACTTCTTCAGACTAGAATTGAATGTGCTACAAAACTGCATACCAGAATTTTTTCTAAAGAGAAGTTTGAAGAAGTTTGAAATTTGGGTGAAAAATTGCAAAATTTTTATAATTTTTATACAAAGTTTAAAATCTGAATTTATATGGTGTTTGTTGTATAGCCAGCTAGGCTTTTATAAAAAAATAATAAACATTAAATAAACAAAAGACAAATAGCCAAAACTGGTCAAAATATCGCACTCCTATTATTTTGTGGACAACTGTANCTTTTAGAATTCAGACAAACAAATTATACCAAATACACTCAAAAATTTAAAACTTTTAATTTAGAATTTTTAGAAGAATTTTAGGTATGTAGTCAGCACACAGTCAGCTAAAAATTGTTGAAAATCAATGCAATTTTCGAGCGTCTTAAAATTTGCTCTTTATCTTCCTAAAATTTAATGGGCTATAAAACTGCATATATAAAATTTTGAAAATTCTAGTTCAAGTAGGTTGAATTTTTATAATTTTTGTACAAACTTTGAAACGTGTA